GATCCATGGCATTCGAGTGCCCACATTCACACAACCATGGCTGTCTCCCCCCCCCTCACTCTCTCTCTCTCTCTCACACACACACACACAAATATCTACAGCAATTTGTTAAGTAAAAAAAAAAACCCTGGGCATATAGCAGTGGTGGGGCCCTTACTTAGCATTCATGATATATATAAGGTCCTGAGTTCAATCCCCAGGACTGAAACAGAACATACTGAACTCAGTGATTTGTCACAGGATCTCGTATGTTTTCTATCTGCATCATTTCTGAATGTTTTTCTGTAGTATCCATGTGTCTGTTCAAATGATAGCTTCTATTTAACATGGGCTCTCTTCTGCATGGAAGAGTTCTAGTTGGCAATGGGAAACGTATCATCTGTAGCCAATCGAAATGTCTCCTACCAGAAATGACACTAAATTCTGCTTGGATTCAAACTCATAGAAACAGAAAATAAAAGAGAGGTTCACAGAGGTCAAGGGACAAGGAAATGGGGAGTTATTTAATGGCTTCAGAGTTCCTGTTTAAGATAATGAAAAAGTTCTGTATTTAATGCCAATGCATGGTACACTTCAAAAATAAACAGCCTACTTTGGAGCCTACAGGACAGGCTCCAAAACCACAGAGAAACCCTGTCTCGAAAAAGCAAAAAAACAAACAAACAAGAAATTTGTCCTGTGTCTGAAGAGACAGCTCAGCAATTAAGAGCAGGTGCTGTTCCTGCAGTAGAGTCAATACGGTCCCAGCACCCATGCGGGTGACTCACAATGGCCTGTAATTCTAGCTCCATGAGATATGACACCTCTGGCCTCTGCTGGCACCTGCAGTCTCATGCACATACTCACAAAGAGACACATAATTTAAAAATAAAACCTAAAAAAAAAAAAGGCCTGGGATGCCAGGCAGTGGTGCTGCATGCTTTTAATCCCAGCACACAGGAGGCAGAGGCAGGTGGATTTCTGTGAGTTCCAGGACAGCCAGGACTGTTACACAGAGAAACCTGTCTCAAAAAAAACAAAAATAAGGGGCTGGAGAGTTGGCTCAGTGGTTAAGAGCATTGCCTGCTCTTCCAAAGGTCCTGAGTTCAATTCCC